CCCTGCCGGGGGGGCCGGGCCTGTCCGGCGTGGGGCAGGGAAACCCACCCAGGCCCATCGCTGGGAGAGGAGCAAACCACACAGACCCACCGCTGAGCTGTGCCGGGGCCGCGGCACCTGCAGCAGTCGGGAGCTGGCCCTGTCCTTCTGTTCCTGAGCTTGGGCCCCTTGGAAGCAGGAATTGTTCTTTTCCACCCCACACTGGCACCCCCCGGGGGTTAATGGGGGGCAGCAGTGTGTAGGTGCTACACTGAGCCTGGAGGCTTCACCTGGGCTGAGCTTGGCTTCACAGATCACAAATCCCAGACAGTCCAGGTTTTCTCTCACCAGAATTTTTTTCATCCTCAACCCTTAATGCTACTGGAGAAGAAAGAGGTGTTTTCTCCCTATAGATTTGTATTCCAAGTTTCCTTTTACTTCCTTTCGGACTTCTTCATGCTTTCATTTAAAGCTCATGAATTCCGGAGTAGGTGCCCAAATGTCACCTTGGGCCATAGATGTCCCTGGTGTTTGGTTGCTTTCTAAGCCTGAGGTGAATGTTTCAGAGGCTTTGCTGGCAGTGTGTCTGTAATTCCTGTGCTGGCTGGAGTGTGAATGTGGCCAGGAGCATCAGAAAGAAGAACTTGTATTTCTGGGGTGTTTCTGAGCCCTTAGCAGCAGCCCCAGCCTGAGGGGCTTTGGATGCTGCCTGGGGGTCCAGGAATAGCCCTCATGTCACACACCAGTGGCTGTGGGAGCTCTGGGAAAGCCTTGGTAGCTTTAGTGAGGCATGAGAAGCACGGGCTTCTGTTTTGCCTGCCTTGTCCTGTGTTCAGAGGTGGTGTCACTTCAGGTAGTGTAGTGATGCAGTATCAGCCCCTGGGCCAGCAGCCATCCCTTCCCTTCGCCTCACCCCCTTTTCCGTTGTTTCGGCTAAGTGTGTGCCCTTTCTTGCAGGATTTGAAATTCCTGATGGAGATGCAGAGAAGTTGATGTGCCCACAGGAGATTGTAGATTACATTGCAGATAAGAAGGATGTTTATGAATGAAGCAGTTCCTGGAGCTGAGTGAGTGCAGACATACTCTGTGCATGCCTGGGTGCACACAGGGGCAGGGCAGGGGGACGTGTGGCTCTGTGGGGGCAGCTTGAGGTGGCAGTGGGGAGCGTGGCACCATGTGAGGGAGCTGGCAGCAGCTGTGGGTGCCAGCGGGGAGGGCAAGGGGGGTGTATTTTCCTGAGGGTGAGGGGGTGTTTCCTGAGCTGGAGGGAATGTGTGGGGCTCAGAGACGTCTCCTCTTGTCCCACCTGATGTGTCAAGTGCTTGGCTCACCCCAGGGCTATAGTGGATGGTGAAAGGGTTCGGCCATGGCAACCCATCTCCCTGTGCCCCTCAGCCCTGCAGAGGGTGTGTGGGGGCACCTCAGCCCTCCCCCACCACTGCCAGCACCGTCTCTTCCCCCACAGCCATGGCCGGGAAGGAAATGGGCAGGAAAGGGTTATAGGAGAGAGGGCCTGAGTGCTGCAGGGGAAATGAGGTGGCCTCGGGCCAGCCTGCAGTGCTGATCCACGTTGCTGCCTGTTCCTGTGTGGCTCTGGGCCTTCCCCCACACTCCCCGGGGCAGGGGGCCTGTGTCCCTTCACTGCTTTGGGCCGGGCTTTGAGCCGTGGCCTTTGGAGAGAGCTGGGGCTCCTTCTGTGCCTGTGTTCGGTGCTCAGCATGTCCTGCCCCTGCCTGACCCGCTTCTGTGCCTTCAAATGGTTCATGAAACGTTAAACACGGATTTTATTTTCCCAGGAGCTGTCCCACACCAGGCCTGGGCTGGTGCCGGTGCGGATGGATGGGAGCGCACACGCTGTCCCGCTGTGGCTTTCATCTGGAAGCTGCATGTGGATGTTGTATTTAAAGCTGTCTGAATGTGTTGTCCTTTAAAAAAAAGAAAAAAAACAGGAATAAACAGTTAAGACCATTGTGGTGGTGGCTGTTCCACACAGTGGGTGTTTCACACAGTGGGTGGGTTCCTGTGTCGGTGTTTGGGTGTAAAGGACACACTGGGGATCAGGGACTGACAGCTCTGGAATTGTCCTTCCCTGCCCCAGGATTTGGCTCTGTCCTGCGTGCCCATAACTCTTTATTTCATCAGTGCTGGTTAAAACAAGTTCTGTGGGATAGGCTTCTATTTTCCAGATGGAAAATAAAGGGGGGAGTGACTTTGCTGCTGCTGAACAGCAAATTCACATTGGTGTTCCTATATGGCTGGCTCATCCCAGTGTGGGAGCCTTGCTTTAATGCTCCTGAGGCAGGAATGGGTTATTTCTGGACACCGCATGGTGTTTCCCCTGACTGAAGAAACACTTTCAGATGTCGCAGCAGCATTGCCAGGTCAGGAGCCAAGGAAGTGTCACTGGGTAACACCCTCTGGCAGTGGGAGGTGAGGATGGAAAATGGAGCAGAGGCTGTGCACAGTGCCTGTGTGTGGTGGGGTGTTCCTGGGATGTTCTCGGGGTGTTCTCAGTAGCTGCACTTTGCTGTGAGACCCTCGGCAAACAGGTGACCCTCTGCTTTCAGGACCCAGATGTCAATCCCGCTGTGAGCAAGGCCTGTGTCCTGGGAAACTCATTCACAGCTCCACACCCCAGCTGTACTCAGACACGCTTTCTGAGCGGCTGCATGGTGGAGCCGGGGGCGGGCAGTGTGTTTGGTCACCGTGTCTGTGGTGGTTCACCTGTGGCATTACCGTGAGGTGCCTGCTCAGAGGCTGTGCTGGTGCCAGGGTGGTCACTGGGTTCTCTCCGTGTGACCCTATGTGAGGAACCCACAAGTCAGAGCAGTCAGCGGTGCCCTGGGGGAGCCTTTGCCCTGGGCATGTCCCCAGGTTCTTGGAGACAGCTGGGGACAGAGCAGGGGCAGAACCGGGCCCGGGCCGTCCCGAATGCGCGTCCCGGGGATGAACCCGTGTGAGGTGGGCGGGAGCCCCCCGAGCCCCTCGGGCCCCGGCCCAGCGCTGAGCCCGCGGTGGGGGCCGAGCCCGCAGCGCCGCACCTGGGGGGGGGGGGGCCGATCCGAGCCCCCCGGGGTGGGTCACAATGCCGAGCCCCGGCCCGCCCGTCCGCCCCGGGGCGGAGGGAGTGCCGGTGCCGTGGGGCGGGCCCGGGCCGGGGGCTGCGGTTCCCGGCGCCTCCGCCCCGCCGCAGCGGGCGGGGGCTTCCTGCCGCCGCCTGGCAGAG